TTTGAAAGCACATTTGCATGTCTGGCTGTAGCTGAACGTGTAGAGATGCTCGGTGTTAGTTCTTAGCTCCCAGCATGTTCGGGTTCGAATGCCGTCAGAGGCAACATGTAATTTTTAATTTTTGGCTTGGTTTTTATTAATTTCGAAAAAGCATTTGAGAAGTGAAGAACAAAAGCGTGTACAAACGAAAAAATATAACAACAATGCCATTGTTAATATGTTGGAGTAGTTTTGTGCTACTCTGATGTAATGCAGGGATGGAGTATATGGTCCTGCCCTAGGACATCGCAGTGTTAATTGGACCATATTTTTTATATGAATTGTGGTTAATTTTGGAGTACTTCTTGGTCTTTAGGGAGTTTACACGCATGCATGGAGTAGTCGCGATTTTTGCAGGGTTTGGGACGAAAATGCACTGACTCTCAAAAGTTGGCTTGTTTATACAGTTTGAGATACGCCCCCCGCAGAACCGCAGAACAGCTGGTTTGACACAATCGTTCATTCATGTGCAAAAAAATAAATGAACAATTTTGCACTCGTGGAGTAAAAATTGTAATTTAATTAAATAGTATCGTCCTAGGCTTTAATTTCATTTCGTGTTTTACCATTAATTTGCGTACCAAATATTTCTATGTACGGTAAGCTCCAAAAACTTAATGTATGTAAGTATTCACGTCCTACTGATGTTTCCAGGTTACCTGAGATCTGAATCATTGGAATTAGCGATTGAATAACCACCTGTTTTCGTTAACGGATTAGTCGAAATTCGTTAATTTTTAATATGTCTTGTTACTTTCGGCAAAACGCCGAGACCAGTGTCAGTATTCCAAAGTATATAGAATCGTCCACTGGCGTTGTCTACTATGACATCAAAGTGCGCGTGTACCAGGTGGAGTGGTTGGTGGAACGACGTTATCGCGACTTTGCTCAACTTCACGAAAAGTTGGTGGACGAAATATCAATTTCAAAGAAGTTGCTGCCACCCAAGAAAGTAGGCGGAATAAATAAAATTTACTGTGAAAACATTTGAAACTTAACTTTGTTTATCTTCCAGCTGGTGGGCAATAAAAATCCCGCATTTCTCGACCAACGGCGGGAACAGCTAGAAAAATATTTGCAGGAATTGTTGATATTCTTTCGTATACAATTACCGTGCGTATTGGCAGAATTCTTAGATTTCAATAAATACGATATAATTTATCTGCTGCAGGACTTGGCAAAGTTATTTAACGAATCCGGAAGCACGCTTTTGAGCTCCAAAAAGGAGTTTAACTTTTCCGCATTAGAGGTGTGTATTTATATAAAAGTGCTGGAGCTGAAGTTTCTATTTTTTAACGACCCGTCTTTTCTGGCAGGTTTATGCGATAAGCGAACGCTTGTGCCTGCCTTGTCCACCGGATAATATCGAACACCGTGGCAAATTTGACTTTTCACATGTGCTCGACTTCTGCACCCAGTTAGAGGTGCTCATTGTCACGCCTGTGAAGGTAAACCCGACTTGCTTATAAATGTAAACAGTAGTAATATAACACTCCTTATCGTCGTCTAGGATAACACTTCCTTCAACAACGACTATAACACAGTTGATGTGCCTATCGGCCGCAGCAATATTATCCCCAAGAATCTCCGTTTCACACTAAACGCATTCCGTAATATTAAAACTCTAAAATTCCATGGGCTGTCCACCGAAAATATAGTCGACATTGCAATTCTGAAACCAACAATGCAGACTATTTGTGTGCATAGCACCACAATGACACACATCAATCAAATACTCATGTGCGACAACATACACAGAGATACGGTTGTAGCTGCAGCATCAGCGTCTGCTGCGCCAGATGATCTATCTTCAAATAGTTCTGCAGCAGCGTTATCAACCTCGACTGGTAGCTGCATCGATGCGCCCATGTCTAGTGGCTTGCCATACGTGCATACAAATTGGAGCAATCTCGCCGAACTCGACTTGACAGGCAATTTACTCACGCAAATTGATGCCAGCGTGCGTACTGCGCCGCAATTGCGTACGCTTGTGCTCGACCAGAATCGAATACGCGCCGTGCAAAATCTAGCCGAACTCTCACAATTGCAGACTCTGTCATTATCGGTTAACCTCATAGCTGAATGCATTGATTGGCACTTGGAATTGGGTAATTTGGTCACTTTGAATTTAGCACAGAATCGGTTGAAGACGTTAAGTGGTCTGCGAAAGCTACTGTCTTTGGTCAATTTGGATTTGAGTTGTAATCTCATTGACGAACTCGAAGAAGTGGACAATGTGGCACGACTGCCGATATTAGAAACATTACGTTTGACCGGCAATCCGCTGGCGGGGAGTGTGGGTGAGTATTTAAAAGGCAAAAAAAATATGTTTTAATCTGTTACTATAGCGAAATAAACTTGCATTTTTTTCCAATTAGACTATCGGCCGCGTGTTTTGTCTCGTTTTCATGAACGCGCCGCTGAGATCTCGCTTGATAGTGAGCGTGGCACGCAAAAGGAGCTGGACACCGCGCTGGTGCTGTCAGCTTTGCATACATCGAAGATGCGGCAAATGAGTTGTAATGGACAGCGTTAGAAAGTGCGTGCCGTCTCACAGGTATGGTGCCAAATTCGAAAACGCCAAATTTAATAAACGAGTACCTAAAAGTAGACTACGCTTATGATGACTTTTAACCACTGTGCTTTCAACGCTGCTTAACGTTTTCAAAGCAAGCTGAAGAGTCCACGCTAGCTAGACAAATAATTGCAGTATTTTGCTCAAAACTCGACGTACTTGGTATTTTATTTTCGTTTCTCTAAAAGAAAACATTCCCCCATGTTTTTTGTTTCTTTCGATGCAATATTTTACCCTATTTTGTATTTGTTTTATTGATATGTATATACTAACCAATAATCGTGGTCACACATAAATTTAACTACATATAATGCAAAAATTATGAAAACGGTTGGGTTGTTTTATCAAATTTATTCAAACACGAAAGAACAAATTTTTTACAATTTGATTTTGCGCGAAAGTTATTTAAATAAATTGCACCACCAACTAATGGACACACTTGCGCATGCGCTTGACAATATCTCGTTAGATGCTTTTAAATAAAAATGTAAATCAAAGCGCTACATGTACAGTATATACACACACATATTGTTTATACATATTCTACTTGTAATTTTTGTCATTTATAATTTGCAAATTTATAATTCAATTTATGTATACGTAGTATGTAGTCACATATACGTGTGATTATGTGTGCACGTGCGTGTATTTAGTTTATGATCTTATACTGAATGTATATGTACGCACATATTTCTTTATTTATGTTGTCATTTGTTTAATTTTATCTGACTTTAAAGTGTTCCAATATATTTTGTCCTGAATTATTTAGTCCTTATAAATACGTATGTAAGTATATTAATTACTTTTTGTTTGTTTTGCATTAAGCAATTTCTGCTTATTTAAATAAAACTAAGAAAAAAGTTGAGTGTTTTAGCGAGTACGAGTTGCTGTGCGGTATTCGGAGGAAAATAAAGCCAAAAATTGTTTTGCTTTATAAATGTTCAAATAGAAAAAATTATGTTCAGCTCATATAATTGCTAAATCAATTAAAAAATAAAAGCATTTACGAGACAATGCAGAGTTCGATAGTGGTATTCACAGAAGAATGGCTGTGGAAAAGCGGTGTAAAATGTTGCATGTATTCTTTTTCGAGTTTAACAATGATTGACAACCTATATATGTTTCCTATATATAAATTTAGCGCTAGACTTATTGCAAAGCAAACAGCGTTAGCGTAATAAAATTAAAGATATTTGTATTTTTGGGTCGTTCCATAATATACAATTTTTGTTTCTGATACATATCTAAGTTCAAAAGAGGTTTTCACGAAACTCACAACTTTTAAAATTTGATTTAAAAATATATCAGCATATCCAGTAAATACTGGGTGGCGCCGATTGAGCTATATGGTTTGTATTCTTTATAACAGTTTTTTTTTTTACTCTGCCAACGGGATCCACGCCTGGAAATGACCTACCAGCAGCGTTGCCGAATGCTTTTGCTAAAAAATCGGCATTTTATCTTGAAAAAATCGTAATTTCGGTCAAAAAAACCTCAAATTTTTGGTTATAATACTGGGTGACGCCGAATGAGCTATATGGTTTGAATTCTTTTTAACAGTTTTCTTTGGGAATATTTGAAACAAAGAGTGTACGTTAACAAACCAAGAACCATTCTCCAACTCCAAACCAACATTCGAAATGAAATCATGGCCATTACACCCGAAATTCTGCGAAAAGTTATGGAAACTATGCTAAAAAGAGCACGTAAGTGCGAAGCAGAAAATGGACATCACTTACAGGATATCATTTTTCAAAGCTAATTGCACAAAATTCCCCAATAATATACTGTATTAAAAAATAAATAAAAATTATAATCACATAAATAAAAGAGTTATAAACCATTTAAACCATATAGCTCATTCGGTGTCACCCTATATAATTTATTTAAAATTACTGTTTCATTTTATCAACTGAACAAGTTGTAAGCTTCGTGAATAGCTCTTCCACTTTGTTAAATACTATGGGTGTTCGCACTTGTTGTGTTATCAGACTATCCAGTTGTTTTTATTTGGTTTACAACAATAAAATACACTATGGAATAATACATGCCTGTCACGGTAACCGACGGATGTCATACGCACAGATCTAATCCGATTCGTACTGTCATAACAAGTGAAGGGTTATATTCGTGCGAATGACACCCGTTGGATATATGCCTATACCGCTCTGAAGGATGTTATTCGCACGAATTTTATCCTTCAATGCGGATGGCATCCGTCGGATACCGTAAAAGGCATGATATTTTTTTAACCAGATAACCAAGATAGTGTGAGCCTCCACGCTGTTTTTCAAGAATTTTTAAATATTTATCTTACATTTTTAATTATTTGAATTTTTATATGAAATACTTAATTCTTTAAACTTTGCAACATTTTTACTAAAAATCGAAAGATTAATGCATGGCGTCTGATAGCCGATGGGCAACCATATACTAAAATTCGCATTACGTATGGCAACTGGCTGCTCACTGTCGGCTACTGAGTCTAGTAGCGCAAATTTCTGTTCCCAGCTTATGACGATCTTGTTATTTGTTTACATAAGTTGTTAAGCACATTGGAGCAAAGTTGCCAATAACCTCTCGATGTTCATGCCAAAAAAGTAATTTCGGATATTATCTGCGCTTTTTTGTATACTGAGATTAATCGCTATACATAATACAAAGTACGATACTGGTAGCCATGGCTACTAGACCGACAACTAGACACCAGTCGCCATACATAATATGGTCTGAAAAAAAATGAACTTTTTGACAGAAGTTTCCTTAGCATGTTAATTCTTTCTAAATATTCGCAAACAGTTTTAACACAACTCAACATTTTCTACCCGCCCAACCTAATCTAAACGCAAGGCATCTAATTTGTTTTTTCTGCGTCGCCCGAAATAGGCTTACGTCCGTTCGTATCGATTAATTTGCGAGAGAAACTTCCAAATCAATTTCTCACGTATAACAAAATGAAAAGCTTAATTTCGGTTGATTCCTTGCTTCTTTGAACCAATTCTTAGTCAAAAGAAATAAATGCAAAATTTTTGCCAACTCTTTTCTTGTAGTAACGGCATAAAACACTGGTGTTCATATTAGTTTTCGGTTATAAAATATTCCGTTGATTATTTTATTTTTTTTTTGTTGACAATTTTCAACTAAATGAAAAAAAAAATCAGCCAGTATGTACTCTGTGAATACCCACATCAAACTCACCAACTCATTCTCGTGTAAGACGCGCAAATAACGCCACTATCTGTCCATATCGACAATCATCGCGCTTTTGCAATTCAATTCAAATTTACTTTTTTTATTACGCTGCTCAATAGCTCTGCCACGGCAGCGTATAGTCGCGTTGCCGCTTATTTATTCGTTTTCATTGCTGTTGATGGTGATGATGCTGTTGCTGCTGCTGCATCATTTGATGGTAGTGCTGTTGCTCAGCAGCTGCTACCGCATCGAACATAGGCGTATGCACTTCGCCTATAAATTGTGGCGTGGCTGGCGGATTGGGGTCGGCCAATTCACCAATTAGCGGCATATCAATGTCGGATGTGTTGAGCGCATGCTGCTGTTCTGTCTGGCCGAAGCCAATGTGATACTGTGCTGCTTGCACGTCGCCACTATCTACAATGTGACCACCATAAGCCACAGCCGCCTGCTGATGGACGACATTGGCATCGTCAATACTGACCACTGTTTGTTGCTGCTGCTGCATGCTGCTGCTGTCCAGCACTGGCGTGGCCTCCATTTCGCCAAATTGTATGGGTGCAGCTGGATCACTAACCATTGTTCCCTGCGTTTCTTGCAGCTCCTCTGAATCACCGGCCGTGGCGGTTGCTTCAGCCGAAGTCGTTGCCTGGTCGCCACCCTGTTCGTCACCCTCGGCGCCAGATTCGCCATCGCGTCGCACTAAGCCCAACATGTCCAGCATATTGCGTTTGACTGTGTTCTCCTGTGCAGCTTCCACAGAAGCATAAGCTGATTTCTGACCGCAAGTGGCCAGATGGTGGGCCATCTTATTGCCAATAGATGTGGAGAAGCCACAAATGCAGTGCATCTCATTTGGTAGTGGTAGCTCCATGACGTCACGGGCACCACTTCCACCGCTACACTCGGCGGCATGCTCGAAAACGGCGCGCTCACAACACGACTTGTAATTGCATTTGTTGCATTTCAAAAATCCACTGCAACGGTGTATAATTGTAATTAGTTTAATCTTAATTAGGAATATACATTAAATTTCAACACTTACATGAAGTGATCTTCGTTTAATATCTCGGAGTTGCATTCAGCACAAATGGAGCCGTCAATAAAAGCATAAAACTCACCAAGCTTCGAAGCGATAGTATACGGTAGTGGTTCGCGATGATGGCTGCGTATCTACAAGAATAAAGAAACCCCTGATTAAAATGTGTTTTTGTGGCGAGTTGAAAACTGTTCACCTTCGGTGGTGAAATCAAAACAGAATTGGTCAGCAGTGGCTGTATTTTTTGTGTGCTCTTTAAGAGACTAGTGTGATGATTGGTTGAGTGTTGCTTCAATGCACCTAAAATTTTAAAATGAGTAAATTATTCAACGGGTAAAACAATTGTATTGAAACAGAAATGCATAATGCAACAATCTTTAATTATATAAAAAAATTTATAAAACACAACTTAATTACCTTTCTCAGTAAAGCTAAGCGCACACTTCTGGCAACGCAATTGGGAATCCTTCCTGCCGATGTGAGCACGTATATGCATATAGTAGTTCTCAATGTTGGTAATGCTGACGCGTCCCTTGTAGGAGAAGCGGAATATCTGGAAAAAAAAAATTAAAAAATAAAGAGCACTAACACTTCAACCTTTTCCTACACTCACATCCAAACAGAATGGACACTGCAAGAAGTTCTGATTCTTGTGATCATCATAAAAGTGACGCACAGCATCGCGGTGCGAAGACGAACGATAACCACAAGCCTGGCATACATACGGTAATTCCAACATATTGTGTATCTTTTGCAAATGCACGGTTAAGTGATGCAACGAGTTGAAACGTTGCTGACAAATCAAGCAGTGGTAAGAGGCCGATGAGCCAGACTTTGTTTCCAATGGATGCATAATTTGATTGTGTTTGGTCAAAACACTTTCACTTGGATGTTTATCCAGACAGAATAGACACTGGAACTGATGATCCTTGTCAGCAATGATATGTGAAACTAAATGTGTTTGCAGCTTCTCATTGGAATCAAAGGAATCGTTGATGTCACATATGGGACAATCTACAGTGGATGCCTCTATTACAACACCACTGTCATTCTTGTAAGGGAAACTTTCAAAGTTCATATCCAATCCATTGCGTATGCCATAGTACAACTCCTCAAGACCTTTCAAATCATCATCAACATCCTTCTCCTTCTTTATCTTAGCCTCGATCACTATCTTCTTTTGCGAGCCAGTTTCTGCCTTAGCATTGGAGGCATGTTTCGCTGCTGAGCCCTTTGTGGATGGTGGTGGTACTTTGCTACTTGACGAGCTGCCTGCTTTTCCTGCAACCTTAGATTTTGGTCCCGGCCTGTAGTCATTATCTGCAGCGGTGGCTGAAGGACGGCCACGACGGCCAGTACTAGCTGAAGTATCATGCTTTGAGCTGTCCGGTTTCTCCTTTTTAATATTTTTCACACTGACTTTTTCCGATTGAACATAGTCAGCTTCGTTGATTGCTATGAAAGAAGATGACATTTACGAGAACGCTCAGTAGAAGAGGTTATTGAAAAATTAAATCATTTAAAAAGTGCTGGAAAATTAAAATCGCATGCAGTTTCGACGATAGCGTCACGGCAGCAAAATTTTTGGTGCTCTAAAGTAGAGGAAAACTTCCTATTCCAATCCCTATTATGACGGAAAATTTCTACGCTCAACTTATCCTTTTAGTGTAACCCCTGGCAATTGAATTCAAAGCGAATTTGATTGAAACCCACTCGGAAGTGAATTGGAGAATCTACCTATATGACCAATTTGCCTTCTTATAAGGTCTGCGTTTAATTCTCACAAAACTATTTTGCCTTTATAACTCAACAATTCTAAATTCTCGAAAATCTCGTACAAAAAGCATAATACCACAAGTAGTTTCTTTGGTGTGTGGGCTAATTTTTACAATCACAAATTTTTAATCCAGCTATGTGCATATATATTCAATAAAAGTGCCAAAAATAAAATTCAAAAGCTTTTTATATTTGTTTAGTTTTCAATAAAACAAGAAATTTATTCAAAATCAAATTATCATTATTTTAACTTCACTACACTTAATTATCATTAAGATATTATGCTTTTTGTTTATAAATAAATGTCTTATTTTTTACATAGAAAAAAACGTTAAAAAATGTCGAAGGCTTGTTTCCAAATTATGTAAAACAAAACCACTAGCACAACAAAAGACTGGATTGAGTATAAAATTAAGCATTTTATGCAAATTAAACGTAACTCTTTTGTAACAAAATTAATTCTTTGGAATTAAACCTTCAGCACAAGTATTAAAAATTAAGTTAACGTAATAATTAAAGAAATTTGTACTCTAAAATTAATATTTTATGCATAAATATAACACCTATGGTTATAACATTTAGCGCTGCAACAATTATCAATTATTCAAGTTTTAAATTGAAGGACAAATAACACATTATTCTGCTCTTTCGAGAGTTCTTAGCATCTAGTTGAGGTATAAGGCTTGAGGTTTTAAGCACTTTATATAAAACTAGGACAAAAGCTAGCATTGAAAAGTTTGCTTCATCAGGCTTTAAGTGAGCGCTGTAATGGTAGAAGATAAAAAACAAAAGTTATGCATTAGTACGACAAAAATCAAAGCTTTATCCCAATGTATTCTACAAAATATCTTCGTCTCAAACTAGAAAAAAAGGGGCAGAAGTGTAGAGAAAAGCGTCAACTATGTTTTAATTTGTACTAACGTTTTTTCAATCGCTTTGGCGTTGTGTTTGCCGGTGTCTCACGATAATTGGCTGGCAGAACACTCCAGTCCTTAAAGGGATTTGTTGCGACCTATTAAAATATATATATATATATATTTATCAAATTACATTAATGCAACCTCATTTACATTCTCTCAAACAAACAAACATAAAATGTACCTGATACAAGCGCTGTGTTAGCGTTTCATTTGTATTCATGCGTGTCTGCTCCGCAATGTGTGCGGTGATGTTGTTGAATGCCTGTAAAGCATAGGTGCCAAATTGTTCACGCCATACCAACTCATCCAGAAATTGTTGTATCATTTGACGTGAAAGCAATGATAAAGTATTCTGGAACATACGTGGCACGATGCGACGCAAGTAGTCCATAACGGAGGAGTTGGTGTGCTTAGCATTTGTGTCGGTTGCTGCAGCTTGTATAATGTTCTTGAAACCCATCGAGTAGAGTGTCATTTTGTCCACAGTCAGATCAATGCAAATCACGCTATCTTTGTGTACCCAACGTTGCAATGGTTCCAATATAGTCTGGAAACGTTTTTTATAGTTACGATCAGCATCTGATACCGGCTCGACGGCCCGCAAGCGTATGGTTTTCTCTGCATAATCAAGTACTCCCAAAACTTCGACTTTTACTTGGCGCTGTTGGCCATCCTGTGATGTGGTTCCCAATGAGATGACACCAACCTTGAAATATGAGAAGAAATTGGAGAATTAAATTTTATGTATGTATGTAGATATATATATATCAATCTAACACTAACCTCTACAAATCTTTCTGGTCCACCCAACTTTTTGCATTTCTGATGCACAGCCAATGTGCAAATAGCGCGCAGCCAAGTGTATACACCTTTAATATACACATTGTCCACCTTAACCCACTGTACCACGTTTTGTATGTTTGTCTGGCACGACCAATGATAGACAAGTTTCAATATGCAAGATGGGGGATGTGGTGCGCCCTCAAAAATAGAACCATGAAATACAGAAACAAACCGCATAGGACAACATTCACTGATCCAAACATAGCCGCCAGTATAAGGGAACTTTGTGGCATCTGAATAGACACCTGAAAATGCAAGTATAATGTTTGCATTCATTAGGAATAGAAACGCATTAGGAGGTCTTGATAAATCCTTGCACGGTGTAGGGATTGCACGGATTGCAATGCTTCCCCATATGAAACCCGGTTTTATGCGCAATCCGTCCACCGTACAAGGTTAATGCAGGGGTTTTGCAGGACTTAGTGTATCGCCCTTTTATTTAAAAAAAAAAACAACACATTTGGATTATTTTCAGTTTCCAGATCTGATTTATGTTGATAGAGGGATCCTTTTTGCAACAACTTACCCAATTTCAACTCGTTCGTACGATGATTTGCACATTTTTGTTCAGCTTTTAATAGACCTTCTTGAATAAGCCATTCAGTAAATTTGTTTGGAGTCAACATCAGCACCAGCTTAACCTTCGAATCTAATTTACTTCGCGTACTGGACATATCTTTAACTTTAAGCCATGGTTTGGCCAAAACCACCAACGAAGGGAAGGTTTTACCCTGTAGTTTAGTTTCCTTGCCCTGATCTTTACCATCCTTTCCATCTTTGCCATCGGTACCGATAACCAATCCACCCACGGAACTTATTTCCGAGGGCTTGAAATTTGCTGGCGGTGTTGCAGGAGTGGCACCTCCTTTTTCTCCTTTGCCTGGTGTTGCAGCTTTACCAGCGGCTCCTGCTTTTGCACCTTTGGCGCCTACTGAACCCTTATCTGCAGGTGTGGCTGGCGCGCCTTTTTGACCTTTAGGCCCCTTTGCTGCACTTGCCGGCGAAGCAGCCCCTGCAGGCGATGTTCCCTTCTTGCCCGCTGCTATTGCAATTCGTTTCGCTAATGGCACATCGTCTTCTCCTTCGTCCGAAGACTCCAAATATACGAAGTTCGAAGGCCGTTTGCGGCCGCCACCTCGTGTACCACCCAAAGGCGTAGCAGGAGGGTTGGGCTTCGCTGGTTTTTTCGGTGGCAATGTTGCCTCCTTCAACTCTTGCAAAACTTTACCCTTGAATGAATATGCTTGAAATACCTGTCCATTAAAGAGTTCTCGACCTTCGTTGCTGGTCAACGCGGATTTTAATGCGTTTTTAATAGCATTGTGCTCGTTGGTCACCTTTTCATACGCGGCAAGTTGCGCTGGCGATAACTCCTCGACCCAACATTCTAACTCTAAGCTTATATCACTTTTGGTCACGCGCATTGTTCTTCTTGGCAAGTTAAACGCGTTTCAAAGAGCAAATATCCAAGTTTTCAATGAAAAATAGTAATTTTCACACGCAACAATTATTTTTTCGTCTGATAAAATTTTTCGCGGAAAGGAAAATGGCGCTTGCGGCGTTACCTCTTTGGCGTTGCCAGCTTAGTAACTTATGATTTGAGGTATTTCAGAGTAGATTTTGGAGATGTTGTAGAGTACAACAATGAAATGAGTCATGAGCGAAAGACACAAGATCACGTTATGCAGCGTTTTTGCTGCATTTAAAATGCAACATTTAGCACTTTCGAACATATGTTTTCGAAGAGCGTTCATGCTATAGCATTTAGCAAATGTACATTTACGCGAGTTCGAAATCGTATGCTTTTGTTAAACAGCCTTGTTCCAGTCGCTTATTCAGATCCGTATCTATTACGATAAATTCTCACGGAAAAGATAATGTCCAAAAATCACTACTGAAAAGGAAAAAATAAATTCTAAACCGAAAATTCAATACAAAAACTTGAATTGTTTTAACCATAACCAAACATTTGTTTGTGTATATATTCATTCAATTATAATTTCCACACTTAATTAGGAAACAAAACAAACAGAGTTGATCACAAATTAATCCAGATTTCTATCAGCATCATATCGATGTTTAATTTGCGTAACTTTTCTTTATCCAAGTAATGTAAAATAATAAATGAAATCTCGATCGGCGATCACTGAAACGCAGCTAGCGGCTGTATACTCGAAAAAGCAATGTTGCCACTTCTTCTCATTAAACCATGTTCGAATCGTGGAAATTTTGGAAGATCACAGGGTTGCTTTTAGCATTTAGATTCTAAATGCAAAAATGGAGTTGCATTTAGTTGCATTTAGGTGACGAATTTTGTATGGATAAATGTACATTTAGAGTAGCATTTAGAGCTAAATGTGCTTTTACGCGTAAGCAAAAACAGCCTATAATGGGCTGTTGCATAAGGTTTTTTGTTGAAAACTAAGTAGTTTACATTTAGCTACTATCTATTATAGCACGAAAAATTTTAGTTGGAAAGGCAAGTTTATGAAAACTTTACGTTCTTGACTAATTTCAGCTTTAAGCTCTTAAGAAAAGCAAAAACTCCATATAAAATGACGTACAAGAAATGGCTAAGAAATTTTCTTTAGTCAAATTTCCTTACGCAGTTCTTCAGAAATTTAGTACGCTTTCTACTACGGTTTTCTAAAGTTTTTTGTGAAAAAAGAGCACAAGGCAACCCAGGTTTGCAACAGAAATATATGCCCGTACCATTATTTCTTGAGGAAAGAGTGAGGCAACAGGCTGTGAGGTATAAAAAATGTCAAAATTCCTTGGACACACACGCGAAATAATGGCAATTTTTTCTTGACCGTTTTCGTAAGAGCTGGATACTTAGTTGCTTCCCATTTAAAGAACCAAGGACTTGAATTCAATTAAAGTTGACGCGTGTGGAAGCAAATAGAAAACACAAAAGAGAATGCGAAAAAATTGCCTTCAAGACTTGACGTGTCTGAAAGGGGACTAAAAAGAAGAGAGTGGAAAAAGTCGATTTTTTTAGCGGTTTCTACGCCATCTTGTTTCACTGGAAAACGAGCAAAAAGTAAACAAAACAAAGAAAACAACGAAAACCAAAATTAGCCAAAATTATTGTCAGCCACCTTAAACGCACAATTTAGGTAAAATGATGCATTAAAATATTTTAAAATCCGTTGTCATGTCGAATTAACTCTTCTTTCCTTAAATAAAAGTGTAAAACAGTGGTTCTTGTGATGTAAACAAACGCTCAGCTGACGAAACGGCACGATTACGATAACCGGGGCAAGAATTTTGAACAAGGACGTCGATAGAGGTTTTTGAAGCAAGTATAACGGTATATTTTCTTTTTTTTATGGGAAGCAAAAACAACAGAAGTTACCAAGGATCAAAGATTAAATTCATAATTTTTTTTTTTATCTAAATGCATTATTAAATGCATTATCTGTAAATTATTCGTACAAAATAAGAATATTTTCTCGCGTCATACTGCATGCGACACCATCAATAAATACCGCGATATTTGGATCACGCCAATAAATACCTTCAACTAATCGCTTTCAACAAAAGGCATGTTTTATTCAACCATCACAAGCAAATAGCTAAATCTTGGTCAAATAAAACGAAATTAGCTTATTTCCTATGTTAGCCTAATTTTGACAGTTGTTTGACTGGAAATAGTGTCAAAGTAAGTTTTCGCCTCTTTCTGATTGGCTGAAGGAGAAAATTTCTGATGCTGAATGGCAATGCCTCTTGTTCAATATACAAGCCAAGATAACTTTTCATAAGCCGATATAATTATGTTGGGTAAGTCCTCCATACAAAATAAGGTAACAGCTTAAATTTCTGGACAAATAAAACATGGCTAAAGTTGGTCGCCAGCCAACATTCAAGCTGAAATTAGTCAAGAACGCAGAACGTATACTTAAACGCAGTCTGTATACGCAGAATTTTGTTGATTACTGGAGCCCTCAGTGTTGCTTACTACAGTGTTGCCACTCATCAATGCCTTTTCATAAACTTACCTTTTCAACTACAAATTTTCGTGGTATAATAGATCGTAGCTAAATATAAGCTACTTAGTTTTCAACAAAAAAATTTTATTCAATAGTAAATTTCAAATATTTTAAACGTATTTTGAATAGGAAATTATACCTTTTTTACCATTTGCGAAACTGACGAAGTGGCAACCATCTATAGAAGGAAGAAATCCGCTGACACGGAAAAATCTAAATTCAGCTTTAAGCCGAAATTAGTCAAGAACGTAAACTTACCGGTACGTAAACCCGAGTCAGCTGACACGATCTTTCTTACCAGAGCGCCATGTAAATGAAAACTCAACACCGCAGAATTTTTCTGAAGTTGTAGCCCGTAGCGCAGAAATCTTCGGAATTTAGATTTTTCCGTGTCAGCTGATTTCTTCCATCTATAGATGGTTGCCATTTCGTCAGCTTTGCAGATGGTAAACAAGTTATAAGTTCCTATACAAAATACGTTTAAGATATTTGAAATTTACTATTGCATAAGGTTTTTTGTTGAAAACTAAGTAGTTTATATTTAGCTTCGATCTATTATAGCACGAAAAATTTTAGTTGGAAAGGCAAGTTTATGAAAACTTTACGTTCTTGACTAATTTCAGCTTTAGCCATTCAACTTTTTTTTGTGCAACCCTGCGTGAGTTGAACGCAAAATCGCCTGGTGCGAACGACCTTTTACTTATTTCGTTTCATTCCTCGTCAATTATTTTCTTCAATAGAATTTTGTCATTCTTATTCACTTCTGGTTTCCCTGCAAAACAAATTTTTTATTAAAATGCGAGAAAGTGAATCGAAATCATCGCGCCGTGAACGCGATCGTGACCGTGGAAGGGATAGAGATCGAGAAAGAGAACGTGATCGTGACCGCGACCGTGATAGGGATAGGGACCGTGACCGGGACCGGGAACGCGACCGTGAAAGAGATCGGCACTATTCGTGTAAGTACCATTCGAAATCAAGATCGCCATCCCGCAGTAGTCGTTCGAAGAAAAGCAAAAAATCTAAAAAATCCAAGAAATATTCAAGACGCAGTCGAAGCAGCAGCAGCTCATCATCTTCATCCAATTATTCTGTTGCTAGTCGTAGCAGTCGGAACTCGTATAAATCTCGCTCGCAGGCGAGAAGTACCCGTGCACCTAGTTCAGAGGAGAATTCGCGTACAGCAGCACCCGCTTCTTTGTCGGTTGCAACACTCAAAGGAATAGATGCTATTGATGCACATGTCCGAAAGGCATTGGACGCCATTGAGGAAGAGTCTTTTCAGCCAAAATCCTTTTTCAGCACACGGGATAGAGAAGCACCTGAAAAGAAACCCTTAGCTGATAAGGTCATAATTGATTTGGAGTCGGAAACAGTGAAGATGCCCAAGCTCACAGATACGACCAAAGAAAACTTGGTCGATGAAAAAATATTTCATCCTAATGTAAGAAAATCATAGTTTTTAAAACAATTTTTATTGAAATATGTATATTCTTAACATTTTGCAGTTCATTGGCGACGCAGATCTCAAGGCGGAAAAGTGGTTGCGCAAACTATTTAATTACCGGCAAAGATATTATCAGGAGTAGTTTAAACTTATATATGTTAGTATAGGTACTAGGTACTACACAAAAAACAATAAATAATAAAGCATACTCTTTAGAATATATCTGAACCGGTTTTACGTGCGCGTATCAAAGCCTCGTCAGCGTTCAATTGTTCTTCCTTGGATGGATTTAATGGACTGCCATCTTCGTTTAGTTTACCCTCCTTGAAGTCTGCAATGATCTTTTGGGAATACACTGCATTAAACAAGTCCAAGCTGGTGAACTCCGATTGTACCACTTCTGGCGCCTTGTATGAGACGTAAGGCTTCAGTTTACAATCGGTTAAATCTGGCACTATTAACTCGGGTATACGTTCTGGTATCTCTACATATTTGCCGTCAATGGTGACGCCGGTGTCCCGTACGCCGCGCTTGTCAATAGGCACAGGTGGATTGGCTAAAGTTTTTTGGGCTAACTTGACACTGCGTGTGCCTCGCTTGTTGGGCGCGAGAAACTTGCGAAAATTACGTTTGCCTTCAAGTGGAGTTGTTGTACTGATGGTGCGGCTGCTTTTGCAAATCAGCGGTGCAATGCGGAATAATTTCTGGCAGTTCTGCATATTTTACGCACAAATTAAATTTGATTAAATAACAGAGAATTCACATGTATAAACATTAGTAAAAGACTTGGTGATAAACTTCTCTCAATGCGGAACGCTAAAAGTGGAACGCTATAGTGTGCTTGGTTTGCTATGTGGATGGCTGTGGAAATTGGAACACTCAATCACAGTAAGTGCAATAAGTTTTTTAATAAGCTAATTTATTAGAAAAAAAAAAATTATTAAGTTAAAACCAAAATGAAATTGGCAAAGTGTGTTTGAATTTAACATTGCTCCCATAACCATGCCCATACAAGAAAGAGGTCTTTTATTTCCGTAAGCCTAATTGCAGCTTGCTAGTGCTGTACGAGCAAGTTGAAATATATTTCCGAAATCGATTCGCGCTCCTTCAATTGCTTTCACATCTTGCGCCTTTTTATTTCTGAAACTTATTTCCGAAATGTGACAGAAAGGTCTTTCTGGCTGTTCACACATCGAAATAAAATCTCTTTCTCAATTTGACAGCGATTTGCCACGTCTTTACATGTTGAAGTTGGATGCAGAAGACGGAAAGAAAGAGAAAGGACCAAAAAGTGAAAGTGAAACGAAGAATGGGAGGGAATGAGAAAACGTCAAAAATTACGCCGCTTTGATTTGCGGATAGCGCGCGCTGACACTTGTTGACAATGGGCTATTTCACACTAGAATGGCAGAACAGTTATTCTCACGGCTTCACACTGGATGAAAAATAGCAGAACAAAATGTGTATACGTATAGGACGTTTGAATGGATTTGTAACTTTGCGCTTGAAATTTACGTAGCGGTATTTTTGTAGTTGCGCATGTGCTAGTGCGCTGCTGCAGAACTGCAACTTTAATGCGGGGTAGAAGCTGGAACAACTTTTTGAGAAACTTTACCTCACCCTACTGCCTCTCTTGCCCACAAACAGAGTTGTTCTGGTGGCAGAAATGTTCCAGTGTGAAAACGACCAATGGAAAATGCAACGCTTAAGGTTTATTTACATGACCCAACTACACAAGATCTGACAAGATGAAGCAAAAGGAAAAAGTAATTTTCTTGCTGACGTTTGTAATTTCGGCGCCATGTTATTTTCTTTGAAAAGTAAAAAAAGAATATGAAGACGAAGGATAAAGAAAAGAATGCAAGCAATTTTGCAGCACATGGTTTTGCTAACCAAATTATTATTTTATACGTGTTTTTGCCACCAATCACCGCGCACTTCATTTTAATTACATTTGCACAAAAAATTTATTGAAAATCGCTTAAAAATCACTGAAATAGACCACCGACAAAATACACATGAAGAAAGAAGCAAAACGGAAATAGCAAAATTACGAACGTTACACACTTTTTTCTCAATTGCTATTACAAATGGCTGCTCAACCGGTTAGATCTGTTCTAATTGGTTCATGGTGGTTAGCAGTGCGCGCTTCCACTGCGCGGCGCCTGGTTTCAAGCCCTGGACGTGAACAAAAAGTGCTGCGGATAGTACACATGGCCGCTATGTTACTTACATGATTTTCAAGATATAGAAAAATTGGAAAATCCGTAAACTTAAAATTGTAATATCTCAGCGAAGCAAAAAGATATTTGAGCAAACTCAACGGAATTTCAAAGAGTTGCGCCGGAGACAATGTGTTCCGTCGTATTTCGAGTAGAGATGGAAAAATCTACTATTACTTTAGGTCAAAAATTGACTTTCCACTGAAAAAATTGGACTTTTTGTGTCGGATTCAGTCGCCTCAAGTCGACGGGCCGAGCATCTCCGCATAAGAAATCTCAGTTTGGAGATTTGACTACTGGTCAACCAACATGAGCTAAAACCTGTGACTTCAACAGGCCGTTGGTGTAAGTAAGCTTTGGCCAATAGTAAGGTCCCTGCCCATCCTTGCGAGGAGTAATAGAGTAGAAATTTTATTCGATAATCACACTTCGTTGGACACGAAGTGATGCGCGAGCTATTTGAGCCGGTAATTTATATTTTAGCTCTGATCCAGTACTCCATGAACTTACAGGATTTTACACGAACTTGCAGGAAGTTGCAGAAAAAATGTACCCGTACTCCAAAATCCTGTAAATGAGAGCGATTTTTGGAGAGTTGTGTAGAGAACGAAGTTGCAAGATTTTACCCGAACTTTTTCTTCTGGTAAAATCATGAAAAGTGTCAAGCAATCACTGGTTGACGGTTTTACAGGAAAAATGTTTTTTTTTGTTCCCGTACTTTTTGTTGTTACTCACTTTTTACTCTCACTTCAGAGAGTTATTTTGCTGTTTGACAGTTTTACAGGACTTTTCACGAAAAGTATTGGATCGGAGCTTTTATGTATATTTCTGTGGATAAGGCCAAGTGTCGAATAATCCAAGAGCTTGTAGGCAAGAAGTGCAGCGAAGTCAGCGGGGTAGGCAAGCACGCACGGTGAGCGAAATCGAGGGGTTTTTTCGACGTTTCGCTTTTATCGAGTTCACTTTTTCGTATTTTTGCTTCGAGTTCGCGATTCGCTCCGCTTTAAAAATGAGGACGAAAGAGTTGACCAAAGAAGATTTTACGCTTAAATGTCAAAAATACGCAAGAAACGCCACAAAGAAAAAGTCATCGTGTAAATGCACGAGGATTTTCGAAGACTTTTTTAAAAGAGAACTTGCCAAAAACGCAGGGTGAAAAGTCATCGTGTAAATTGGCTCAAAGACTGCACAGATTTCCAAATGCCAAAGTAGTGCGCCTCTGTCACCAGCAGTGAAATTCGTGTAGAAATAAAAAGGACAAAAGCCTCAAAAACCTTTAGAGCTGACGAAATATGCATTCTGATGCCAAAAAAAAATTAGATTTAGCGGAAGTATACTACCTCAGCAAGTTCCTCAACTTGTCGCTAATCACTCTGCCAACAAACGCTCCTCTTGCCAGTAGTGAAGTAACTTAAGGCCTTGCTACTCCCGTACCACCACAACACTTAACGCAAGTTTGCAAGTGCAAAAAAATTTTTCTTAGCTTATTTTAATTCTCTACAAAAAAGGTCCATATACCAAATTATCTAGGACTAATTCTTTTGAAAATACTTGCAATTTTAGTAAAAAAAATTATTAATTAATTGTATTTATTAATTTTTATTTTTTGAGCACACTGAACATTTGTTGACTTGGGCGGGCCTAAGATATTGACCAAAAATTGTCATCTTTCACACAGCTTGTTTTTAGAGCATAATGAACCATATTTTTTTATTACCAATAAATTCGAAAAAAGCGGATTTTCGACCCACGCTAGTACAAAACGTCACAACGCAAAAATTACGAATTTGACACCAAAAACTATACAAATAGTGATGAAACACAGACAAAAAAAACTACTTATCGATAACTATTACTATCAAAAAGTGTTTGCACTGCAATTTTTAGTTGACTGTGTAACTATCTTCAAAGTTAAAAACCAGCAATATCTGCACATAAAGAAAAATCGTCATTGGGTAATAAAAATCGTCAAATTGTCATGGCCTTAACCGTAATTGGCCCTATTCTAGCCACATACAAGTATCCAAGTGGACGAGAGAAAGCCTCAATATATAATAGCGTAAAGTGACAAAACCTTCGAACATGTCCAACACTACTAGGACGGTTATCTTAATGAGGCGGTAACAATTATGATCAGCAGTGGAGTTCTGACAATTGCCACACTAACCGCCCTATTCCCACAACTCTTGACAAAATTCATCATATGACTATTGTCACAATTACTACGCCTAAAACACAATGGGCTGTTGGGTAACCGTTGGCTGTTTGTCTTAGAAACGCACAGTGGAGTAGTTACGCTCAGCCCAACAGTTGGCAACTTTCCGCCATTTTTCCCAGCGGAAAATGTTTACGCTACCTGAACGCAACGAGTTGGGCTTAGCCTAAACAGCTGATCGAAAAGACTTACGCCGCTTATATTAAATTTAACGCCGCTTTGTTAGGTGGCAGTTGCAAACAAATTTATTATATTTTATATTACTGACGTGATAAAGTAACTAAAATATTTTATAATAATACTACGTTTCTAAATATATGTTTTTAAGATGTTTGCTATATAATTTTACACTGTTTAATTCATTAGGGGTATTCTCTGAGTCTTGCAAAGCACTTGCATGGTGCACAGATTGCACGGATTGCACGGTAAAAACCGGTTTTCGTATGGGACAGCTTTGCAAACCGTGCAATCTGTGCACCGTGCAAGGGCTTTACAAGACTTAGAGAATACCCCTATTGTAACATTGAACGATTTTTTCAACACGGCTGCCGCTCAGCGTTGAATTCTAAATAGTATCGGCGCAACTATCTCTATTTGTTGCAATTTCATTTGTTTACATTTATCAGCTGTTCATTTGGCAGCATATTCATCAAGCCGTTTCTAAGACGTAATTGTTGGGTTCAAGAGTTGCCAGCAGTTTCGTAGCAGATGAGCTAAACAGCTACGTCTTATGAACGCAACCAATATAAACATTGTTTCGCCGTTGTCACTTACTCAGTAGGTCATAACAATAAAACTGACAATTGTCATACAACAGCTTAAAATAAATTTGCGGCATAGTATTAGGCGCAGTAGTAAAGGTCAGCCGCTGAGTTTTGTCAGTGGTGTGGGAATAGGACGGTAAATTTCCATCGCCAAATTCTCTAAATGAAAATCAGTGGGGCCTAAAACCACGCTGGTAGTATGAGGGGCATGTTACTAGGTGTTGCATGTTATTAGGCGCGCCTGCTACTCATTTGGAGATTAAGTTGAACTATGTTTGTATGCCATGAGAGTCTGGTCGCGATTCGGCGGACGATGTTGCCTACTTGCTACTTGTGCTTTCTGCCGTTAGGGTTGCTGCCTGGCGGCTGCAAGGCTCTAGAAAAGGATCGAGAAAGCAACTTTTTACTCAGGAATTACATATCCTATTTAATACACCGAGTAGAAGGCGTGAGGTACTAAGAGGAGCTGTTTAGGACTCACAATGAAATTGGAGAAAGGCTGTGTGGGTTAGTCTTCTCGGGTAAACTCCGTGAAAGTTCCTTAAGTGATAGAAATCACCAGTGCATTGCGCGAGCTGCAGGCAGCCGAA